TTAAACTGTCTGTATATATGTGTTGCTTTATCCTACTGTACACCACTCTTTCAAAAATCTTAGAAAAACTTATTAGCAATGATACTGGTCTATACTTTGCCATAATTGTCTTCTCACCTGTTTTATATATAGGTCTTAATGAGGCAAATTTCATTCTATTAGGATATATTCCATGCTCAAAAGATGCATCAAATATGTGACACAATGGTTTGCTTATCTCAGTTATACAGTATTTCAATATCTTACTGGAAATGCCATCATATCCTGTAGATTCTTTTGATTTTTGCAACATAAGTATGCTCTTTATTTCAACCTCCGTTGTAGGTATTAGCTTCAGTTCAGAGAATTTATCAAATTTCAAAGTGTCCAAGAATTTAATAGTTTCATTTTTATTGACACTTTTCGTTTCCAGATTCTCAGCTACAGTTATAAAGTATTTATTGAATACTTCTACTACTTCCTTAGTATTAGTTACTTTGCTATTCCCCACTTTCAATTCGGTTATCTTATCTGGGCCCCTCCTTCTCCCAGTTTCTTTATTAATAACCTTCCAGGTTAATTGTATTTTGTTTTCCGAGTTACTTATAAGTTTTTGGTAGTACAATTTCTTAGCTTCTTTTATTACTTTCGTTAATGTCATACAGTACCTTTTATAGTATGATTCCAATCTTTCATCCTTTGATTTTTTAACTAAGTTGTATAAAGCTCTTTTATGATTGCAAGATGTTCGTATACCTTTGGTTATCCAATTATTGGTGTCTTTCCCTTTTTTATACACCAAGGGAAAGCTGTTTTCTAAAACTGTTAAGAAGGTATTATGAAATTTATTAAATTTTATATTAACGTTCTCTTGATCATAAACTGCTTCCCAATTTTCATTTTGTAATGCCTGTTGGAAATGTGTTATGTACTCATCATTGATATCCCTAAATGCTCTTGCATTGTACCTTTTCTTTATCACCTGTAAATTTTCAAGTACTAAGATTTGTCCATCATGGTCTGAAAACCCATTTATTACGGAATGGGTTTGAAATTTATTGAAGACATTCTTATCTAAGAAAAAATGATCTATAAGTGTGACAGCAGTGGGACCTATTCTGGTCGGACAGTCAATTATTTGAGCTAGATTATAAGTATCTAATAAGACCTGTAACTGTATTTTTTTATGGTTTTCATTAAGGTAATTTATATTTGTATCGCCACAAATTATCAGTTCCAATTTAAGGCTTACTAAATATGAAAGTGTAGCATCCAGCTGCTCAATAAATTGGCTGATGTCCCCATCTGGTACTCTGTAGACACATGAAATACATAATTTCTTATTACTTATAATTATCTTCACCGCACAGGCTTCGAAAACCTTCTCCCTACTTAACTTATTGAGATCTAGCTTTTGATATGTTATATATTCTTAACTAATATACAAACTCCTCCATTCTTAGACATATTATGTGAAAAACCTGTTGCCATTTTATATTTTGTCATGAAGAACATGGATAGTTCGTCTGCACTCAAATGATGCTCACTAATACATAAAATATCAGGATTATTATATACATCATTTAAAAAATAGCTAATTCTTCTTTTTATTTCTAATACTTCTTATATTTTGATGATATATGACTAGAGAATACTGCTGACTGTTGTTTCCATTTTGAGTTATTCCCATAAAAAATCCTCACTTCTCGTATTTGGGATCTTCCGACGTCTTCTAGGGGGAATAGTTTGCAACACTACACTAGCTATTCCCTGATCCTCAGCTGAGATTATTGTTGCGTCCTCCTTCCATGTTAGACTTCTTCTCTTTCTAGGTCTATGTGCATCATAGTCGTATGCCTATATTTGTTGGTAATGTCATTCAACTTTTTATTAAAAACTTTAACCTCATTAATTATTGATGTTTCCATCAAATCATGCCTATGGGGGGCACCCATAATTATGACATTGCTGTGTCAATTCCCCAACAAAAAACGATGTATCCACTTAATTCCTCTTGAGGTACTATTCTTCATAATGTCATCTGACTCTCCACAATATATGAGCATGTTCTCTCCTGTCAATCCACCAATTTCCTGCTGTGCAGTTTTAGTCAATACTTCAACATTTGCTCCAGGTATAACATAACCTATCACTTCATACTGCTCTTTAAATTTCTCCCATAATTTACTAGCAAAGCCCCTGGCATGATTATCTCCAATTAACACCATTTTGTGTTTTATATTTATTTTTCCTTTTGCCAATTCCGATATAGCAAGACTTTCCATAAACCTCGGATCGCCTAATATACTCTTTTTCTTTGTGTACTGTGGCAGTTGTACTCTGCTGATTTGTGTAGTATTTATGATTGGAATATTCTAAATAGTATTAAATGTAATGTTATGCGAAATATTCCTCTTTCTTATTCCAACAGCTACATCAGTCCATTTAGTTCCCAGTGCTTCAAGTCCTTTATTGTTACTACTCCTTATTTTTACTTCATGTTCCAGTTTCACTATCAAGGCATTCATAACCTCTCTCACATGCAGATGGACTGCCATGTGTCTAAATTCACATAACTCTTTCAAATCTAGCTCTATATCTAAAATATCATTTCTATAATCTCCCTTATTTTCATTATTCATCTTTCTGGTAACTTCACCATCTCTTTTTTGCACACAACTTATTTCTACATTCAATATAATATCACCATCAGACAACATCCATCTTACTGCCGCCATATTACGTTATAATTATAATAATATCCTAACTGCTTAAATAAAAAAAGAAATTGTGGGCGGTGTTTTTTGTGATCTTCACAAGGCCTTTGATAGTGTCAACTATGATATTCTGCTTTCAAAGTTGAATCATTACGGGATTAAGGGAAGGGCTAATGATGTAATTAGATCCTATTTATCAGATAGATACCAGAGAGTAATAGTTGTTTCTGACTCAATTAAATTCTACTCTAAATGGGAGCCTGTTACCGTTGGAGTCCCTCAAGGATCCATACTAGGTCCCTTGCTTTTCCTTTTATATATCAATGATTTGCCTAATGCCATATCTGATGTATCCAATCCAGTCTTGTTTGCGGATGACACAAGTGTAATAATTACTAATCCTGACACCCCAAGATTTGAAAAAGATATAAATATAGTTTTAGAAAAATTAAATAAATGGTTTAGTAGTAATTTATTACTACTAAATCCTACAAAAACTTACTTTCTACAATTTGTAACTAAAAACACAAGAGCTTTAGATTTACATATACTATGTGGGAAAAAACAAATAACCAATGTGGAGGTTACAAAATTTTTAGGTTTGGTTATTGATCATAAATTGTCATGGCAAACCCATATTGACCAAATGATACCCAAATTAAATAAAGCATCCTATGTAATTAGAGTATTAAAACCTCTTTTATCCTTGGAGTGCCTAAAAACTGTTTATTTCTCCCTAGTTCATTCAATAATATCTTATGGCATAATATTTTGGGGGAGTTCGGCTCATGCAAAAATCATATTTCAAATACAGAAAAGAATAATAAGAATTATTACCAATTCGCGTAATATAGATTCGTGCCGTAATTTATTTAAGGAGTTACATATTCTGCCACTTCAGTCTCAATATATATTTTCTTTACTTATGCTGGTTGTCAAGAATAGAGATTGCTATATAACAAACTCTGATGTCCACACACGTAATACCAGATTTAATCATGACTTGCATCTTCCAGTGGTAAACTTAACGATATTTCAGAAAGGTGGATGGTATTCTGGTATCAAACTTTATAACCACCTCCCTCCAGAGCTTAAACAATTATCTTATGACATTCCTGGATTTAAAGTGGCGTTAAAGAAGTTTCTTATCACCAGTTCTTTTTATACTGTTGAAGAATACTACTGCTGGAATAAAGATTGATCCCTCATGTATATTTAATAAACACTGTTGCCTATTGCTAGGATGCAACGGAATATGGAATAAAATACTCAGGAAAAAGGTGCTATCACTGCTGTAATATAGGTGTATCATATATTAAGAAAATAGATTTTATATTACTATATTAAGAGGCTTGGCGGTCTTTTAATCATGTATGTAATTTTAAATGTTATTTTGATATATGAAATTTGTTGTACAGTAGTTTTGTTGTGTTGTATTTTAAATTTTGATGATGATGACTATCTGATTATGCATGTATATTTATGTGTTATATTGCGCTGCTGACTTCTTCTATATTTTGAAGCAGACCCCTTTGTGGATTTTTTAACTGTAATAAATGAATGAATGAATGTATGAATAAAATGTATATTTAAATGAACACTGTTGCCTATTGCTAGAATGCAATGGACTATGGAATAAATACTCAGAAAAAATGTGCTATTACTGTTGTTACAGGTGTATTATATATTAAGAAAATAGATTTTATATTACTATATTAAGGGTCTTGGTGGTCTTTGATCGTATATGTAATTTTATATGTTATTTTGATATATGGAATGTACTGCTGTACAACAGTTTTGTTGTATTGAATATTTAAATTTTGACGATGATGACTATCTGATTATGTATGTATATTTATATGCTATATTGTATTACTGACTTGTCCTATATCTGAGGCAGATGCCTCTACGGATTTTTTTGGAACTATAAATAAATGAATGAATGAATAATATCTCTTCTCCACAATGTCCATATACAGCATATCTAATGGGCACCACTGGATACTTCCACCGGGGGCAAAGCAGCCAGGGGGTGAAGCTGATCAGTCACTTCAATCTAGTGTCAAGGTCAAGAATGGTGGAACTATACCTCTATTTCCCCCTATGTCTTCGTTGTGTTATGCTTAATTAATTCAAGCCCAGTGATAATTTTACCATTCCACGCTACTCTTTGTTACTGACAGCATCTTCAATAAAACTATCAGTAAATAAATGTAACTGGAAAATGTTAACACATATTGTTCCATTCAGTTCTTTCTTCTACGCTATTTATGTATTTCTTAATTTCATAGCCTACTAACTTACTATCTCCCTGTCCGGTGATCATACTTCCGATCCCAGCCTGGTGGAAGAGCCCCACTATCACGATTTTCTGCCATTTGTAAGTGCTTTCACTCAAGAGACGGTCAAAGACGTCAGAGAGGTCAGAGTGGGTCAGAGATTCAATTCATAGGGGAGTAAGTGAGTGCTACTGGCTGGCAAAATAGTCCACACAAAACCACGCATATGTTATGCTGCCATCTATTTTCATCTATACTAAATCTTGCACAAACCAGACGCAGCCATTGTCTATAGCTCAATCGGGAGATAAATACTATTCGAAGAGAATCAGGACCGATCAGGACACTAGAATAATTAATAATATTGCAATTTCATTCCCATGCGTTCCATTATATTGCACAGAAACTTTCTCTGTTTATAAAAATGAATGCTGTTAATTCGCTTAACCAATTTCATTTAATTCATCCATCAGGAAGAATATTGTTTTTAAGCATCCTGTTGTATTAATACGTATGTCTTGTACACATGTATATCCTTTTTAAACGTAACTTATTATGTAGTCATCCTTCTGCTACACTACATGTTTTGACCGCATATGGCCATCATCAGGTGTCGTCTATCTAGTTAAAACTGTTGCACTATATGTAAAATTTATGTATCGCATGTGAATGTGATATTTCCAAATTAAAATTAATTAACCTGTGGGATTGTCGTCAATACTCCAATGGACAAACCACACGAAACTGTACAATTGCATATATTGAATCGTTTAAAGTCAATATACAGAACACGGAATACACGAATAATGTTCAAGCGTTGGTCTGGCCTGTCTGGGCGGTGATGCCGTGCTGAGCGTGCCGGTAG